CTTTTTTTGAAGCAAGCAGCATTATTCTTAGGGATGAATAGTGATTTAGGCTTTACAGGGGCTGCGGCTCTTCACTGCCTACTTCCCCTTCCTCTTACTAGTCCCTGGTGAATACAGACTCCTGGGGACTATGTTAATGCATCGCGTAATGCACCTGCCCTCACGGTTGGGTGGGTGGTGATTGCTCTTCCCAGAACTGCAGCTAAACCCCAGCTCCGGAATGTGCCACGGGGAGGGCGGGGTCTCCCGCCGACTTGGTTTGCCGTTAACCATTTCCTCCTTCCGTGCCTCTTGATCGCAGTGGAATCCTGCCAGCCGAGGCGGAGCTTCTGTACATCAACGAAGTGGAGCGCCTGGATGGATTCGGACAGGAAATCTTCCCCGTGAAGGTAGCGTCCGCTGGCCTGGCCGTGCGTCACCTTCTGAGAAGGGCACAGGCATTTGGGGAACCGGTGTTGATAGTAGCAGGCAGAACGGCCTGGCTTTCTCTTTGCCACGTGGCATTAGTTGGCAAGTCCCGTTTACGTTACTAAAGCGGATTTTTTTTTTTTTTGTAACCGAGAGGTTTTGATTGGATGGGTTCCAGGAGAAGAATATCTCGGTTATATGCTATGAGTGAGTACCAAACACCAGCCCATCCTGCACAGCAAAGGGGGCAAGGCCCATATCCAGTCTTACCCCAGGACAAGGAGCTAAGGTCGCATTGTGCCTTAATAAAGACCCTCCCTCCCAGGTCTCTTCCCATCCGTATTCCCTCTCCTCTTCTTTAAGCTGATACCCATGGTTTCGGGCGTCCTTTATGCACCCATGCTTTCTCTCTCCTGTCCGAGAGAGCCTCCATTGTGGGTGTCCAGTCCCCCTGGTGTTCTCTGGAAACTGTGCACAGGAAACTGTGACAGCATGTCACCTCCTTTTCAAAAAAAAAAAAAAAATCCACCTCCTAAAGTGGGTGTAGTTGTGGCGGGGTGGGGGAGGGCATGGTGCACGGGGCGTTTATACAACTGAGCCCATAAGCCAAACTCGTTCTCCTCTCTCTCCTGACCAGCTTTGCAAAAGATGGCGTTTTTGTACCAGAAACCTAAAGCAACTGGCACGTGTCAGCAGTTTGGGAGACGCCTGCCATTTCGGCATAAACATTTCGCTCCAGGCTGGCTCCGCTGGCTGTTTTATAAGTGTTCCGTCCCCCGTCTGCTGCGCGTTTGCAATTTGCCGAAATGAGAACGGCCCGTGTGCATCAAGCAGAATGGAGCGGGGTGGCCGCAGCTTGTGGAAAGGGCTAAATGGCTCCTTTTCAGATGTGTTTAATTTTCTTTTGCTTCCCTCATGGCCGCCCTTCGTGGGGCTGGAACCCATTTTCCTTGCCATAATGCCTTAGACGCCATCTGCATCCCACTTAAATTTCAGCGGCCCATCTATAGTCAGGGTGCTCTGGGTCACGGAAATAGAGTAAGCTGTTCTCCACTTCCAGAAAACTGACTTCCAGTCCCTGGGAGTCGGGGGTTTTGTCGTGGTCATTTGCCTGTTCTGATTTCAGTGCTGCTGAATTGTGGGAGGGAGGGGCAGTGGAGATAGTGTGTGGAATCCACTGTGCTTGGCTCTGATGCACTTTCTAGTATGTTCCTTAGAGGGCGAAGCCCAAGGGAACACCCTACCTTACCCCGAGCGGGCAGACAGGCATTGCTGACTCACTGCCCGTGGGCGTCAACGAGCTGGGCTTCTTTTTCCTCTTTCCTTTCCCCCCACATTTCTGTGCATGACTAAGGTGACCACCTACACACCACAGGATTCCTGGCAGCCCGCGGAGGAGGGGCGGGTCAGCGGTACCAGTGGGGGCAGGGACGTGGTCAGCGCTGAGACAGTGGGCAAGCAGACAGGACAGAACACAGGGACAGACTGCGGGAAGGCAGTCCCTGCAGGTTCGTGCAGGTCCCATTGACCAAGGAAAGTATAAAACCCTGTGATGGTGTCCGAGGGGAGGACATTTCCGTTTAGCGAGGACTTGTCCATGAGTGGCTCCTTAAAGATGCTCAAGGCTGGAGGAGGATGAGTCCGGCTCCCAGCAGGTCTGCCCGCCTCTCCAGACACAGGTGTGGCGGCTGCCTCAGTGGCCCCTGTACAGTCAGAGCACATGGGCATGGGGAGGGTGCTCTGGAGTGAGTCAGCGTCTGGAGCCTTGGTCCTTGGCGAAGTTCAAGGTCGAGCCCTGGGTTCTGCCCAGTGCAGTGCCTCAGGCGTCCGTTCTGAGCTTTTCCCACCCTGTGATCTGCTCTTTCTGGGTCCCTGTCCCCACCAGGCTCTGGCCGATCTGCTGGCAGAGTGCCCGGGGCAGCTTTCCCCAGGATTTTCCTTTCTCCTCCCGTATCCACATCACCTGCCTTCTTCTCCCACATGTTTTCCTGTCGTATAGCTTCCCTCCTCATTTCTCATACTGACAAGGCCCCCTTTCCCTTCCCAGTTCTTTCTCTCCCGACTCTTTCTGCTTTGGCCGCCAGCAGGGTCTCACCTTTCTCCATCCCGGTTCGAAGACTCCTGTTCAGCGTTAGCTTTGGGAGGTGGGTTGAGAAGTGATCACTAGGAGGGGACACGGAGCCAAGCAGATTATATGCAGTGAAGCCACAGTCCATGTGCCTCTTCCATGTTCACAAAGCTCTCAACCAGCGTTTAGCATCCCACGCTGGACTGTGAATAGATAGTGAAGCATCACCCTACATGATGCCCTAATAGGAACCCCAGTGGCCAACACGGTGAGAGCAAAGCCTAGAAGACAGAGATTTTGTAGGGACAAAGAACCCCCTGACCAAAATACCATCCTGTCAATCTCTCTCTCTCTCTCTCCTCTCTCTCTCTCTCTCTCTCTCTCTCTCTCACCACACATGTTACCTCTTTATAGGAATAGATTGCTTTTAAAAAGAAAATAAAACATGTATCAGAAATTAAAAATGTGATATCAGAAATGGAAACTGTAATAGGTTAGAAGATAAAATTCAGACAGTCTCACCAAAAAACAAAGCAATGGGACGTGGGAGGCAGAAGATAAAATTAGAGGGCCAGCGCAGGATGTCCCAACATCTAAATAATAGGAGTTCTACAGGGAGTAAACAGGAAGCACGAAGTAGTAATTCGAGAAAATTTCCCAGAACTGATAAATGTGAGGTTCTGAAGGAAAAAGCCAAGCTTAGTGGGTTCGTATAAGGTACACACTAGGGCGTTAGTTGATATAAATTGGTGTCTCCAAGGGAGAGGAAACTGTGGGTCCTTCCAGGCCTGCTGTTGGCTTCTTTTAAACAAGCTCTAAAGAATATTCAGTTCTTCCAATTATGTGCATATATAATCGCATGTATGTAACGTGCATATATAATCAAGCTATGTGCATGTACAATTTTAGTTTAGAAAACAGAAACTAGGGTAAACATAGATATTCATAGATGTTTACAAAAGAGAACATCTGAACTGCCAACAAACCTGAGGAAAACCCTAAAATTATTTTAAACAGGAAAGGTGTGGTGACAGATTGAGAAAAATGTATACCTCGTACGTTAGGATGTGCAGTGGGGCGCATCCCTTCAGGATCTAGTTGCCTGATTGCCGTGATGCTGCTGCGACTCATTTGTTTTATGGGTGACAAACGGGGCGTGGTCCCCATGGGTTACTGAGGCCCAGTGCTGGGTGCTGCTGGACCGCGGGGCATCTGTTTCATCACCGCTATCTTTCCTTGATCTCCTACAGGACAATCATGGAAACAGTGTGCACCTGGGCATTTTCTTTATGGGGATTTTCGTGAGAAACAGAATTGGAAGACAAGCTGTAATACACAGGTAGTCTTATTTGCTTTCTCCCCCTCTTCCTCCCCCTCCCCCCGTCTTTTATTCCATTGAGGAACTAGACAAAAACCCACTACATAGAAAAGTTATTCAAATGATTGGATCCCACTGTTGATCAGCGTTGAGCTCTTCTCAACTCAGTTAAGATCCGCCCTCTGTGGGATTTAAGTGGTGATGGGGAATCTTCTCTCACTTTTCCTGGTATGGGGCTGGGGAGGCCTTCTTCCCACCTGACCCAGGAAGTGCATTATTGAACCCCATTGACCCAGGAGAATGGGAACTAAATTTTAAGAGTCTGTTTAGAGACAGGCTCTCCAGTTGTCTCTTGCTGGTTCCCTTTGCTGGAATCTCCATGACCAGTCATTCTATTCAGACTGACTGCTTCCCCTTGTCCTAACCACAGGTGCTAGAAGAGTGCTAACTCGTTTCTAGATTCACAAAAGAGGGTTAGTTATGAAGGTGTGTTTTGAAAAAGCAACCGATTTGTTGCAAATTAAAGGACGTTGGGACTTTTTACTGTTTTGACCCTTTAACTCTCTTTTCCATGTAACATGCGTAGAACTAATATAGGGACATGTCCGAGCGTCCCCTCAATGACATGCCAGTGAGCTTGCTTTGTATCCGTGCCCATAGATCCCATGTTAGTCAACAATCTGAAACAATTGCATGCTCACTTTTATTCACAAGGGAAGACATGTGGCCTGTTATTTTTTGGAAGAACAGCTTTCGTGTGTGTGCATCTGGCGGGCATAGCTGTGCACTAGGGTAGAGGATCCAAGAGGGTCTTGGAGGGAAATACATAGAGAATAAATATTCTATGGAAGCCCTAGAGGTAAGCCTGGGCCAGCCACCTGCTCTCTGGGTCAGCGGTTGCCACAGGTCATTTTGAGACACTTTTCCTACCAAAGGCTCCCTAATAGGCCTTTTGGTCCCCCTAGGTCTCCGCTCTGCCGTTACTGTTGTCCTTTATTTTCTCTTGCTCTTTGATTAGAGACATCATTGAAGAGTGAGTACGGAGAGAGATCTGTGGGGCTGCTGAGTAAATTTGATTTTTGGATATACTTGGTCAACCCCATACACCGACAAGAAATTATAAATCAATTGAGTAAAATATAGAAATATGTGCAGAGTTGTAACTATAACATTTGACGCATATCTAAAGCTATCCAGGTATTTGGTCCCACACAGTTCTCCATAGCACGAGAGAATAAAGACTCTATTGAACTGGAAACTTTCCAATACTTGCCGAGTGCTCACTTAAAGATAGTGGTGCTGAGTTCTGCATAGCTAAATCAATGCTTTATTTTTGTTTTTTTCCCTTGAGCCTGGAGACATAGACAAGTCTTGCCTTATAGCCAGTGAGGTTAAATAGAAGAAAAATAGCAATTTGAAAGTTGGCTGGTCACAAGCCACACACAGGATGTGTTCAGTCTCCTTGGGAACTGCTTCCAGACCGCTTCCTTTAGTACTTATCATGGCACTCCTCACAAGGTGGGAATTTATTTCTGTGATAATGCCACGCGAATCAGGCCATAGGTGAAGTCCTAAGGTGGAGTGAGGAGTGGATTCGGAGTTTTGGCAGTGGACTTGAAGGAATGGAGCCAGAGGAAACCAAATACTCTCTTCTCTAGAGACCTTCACTGAGAAGCATATAGCTTTGTGTCCAGATAGATGTGATCTGAGGGGATTGTAGGTTGGCAGACAGCCGTGCTGAGCACCTGGAGCCGGTATGGCCCCAGCAGATGTACATAAACACAGTTGGTACTGGTGTCAGGGAAAGGTGATTGGAGGAACATCTGGAAGCCCCAGGTATAGAAGTCACCCATCCCTGGTGAGCAGAGTGAGTGTGGCTAAGTCAGGTACTCACATGCGTCTAAATTGCCTCATCACCAAACTAGAAGCACTAATAGCTGCCTTGTGTACCGTAGAGAGTTGATCAAGGAACCGTACTCTGTACAGATGGGAGGCAATATTATTACGTTCAATACTTTCAGCAAACATTGAGCGCCTGCTGTGTGCCAGGTATGCGGCTCCGTGTTTGGAATACAGAGATGCGGAAAGCAGAATCTACCCAGGGCATGGAGCTTATGGTCTAGTTTGGTTTCATCAGGGAGCTAGTCACAGAAGTAAGCAGTCATGATGCAACGTGGTAACCGGGAGAGGGCGACACCAGGCTCTTTCCTAGCATGTGGGTGGTTCGGGATGAGGAAGGGCTGCCGAGAGAAGGCGACTCCTGAGCTGAGTTACATGGATCATCCAGGCAGAGGGGGAAGTGTGACGAGGAAAAGTGCGATGGAGAACAGTCAGAGGGCAGGAGTTACAGGTTGGGGCACAGGGTGAAGGGTAGGCAGTAGTGAGAGCCGGTTAGAAATGGGCTCCTAGTAGAATGGGAAGCAGTAGCTTACCTCCCCTTGTCTGGTGGTTATTTCTGTGTGTCACCCTTTAGAGAAGGTCTTCATGAGGAAAGAGAAGGAGTGTGTGTGTGTGTAGTTCACAAAAATGTAGGCACATTAAATACTCGCCTCCCAGGCATGTTTCCTAGGTGATGTGTCAGTAATGTACATGACAGCACAGAATCCACGTGGATCTTCGCCTAGATTCCGGGAACATTGGACTTCCCAATAATGTGTTCCTCCATCATTTAAAGCCAGGATCACGGGAGATCCTTTGTCGGGTTGGAACTGGGACTAACAAGGCAGCAGAAGTCCCTTGCAAATGCCCCCCCTACTAGACAACAGTATCTAGATATTGTTTGCATAGGAGTTTTTAGCTATTTCAATAGATTCGGGTTGCACTTTATATACTCTCGGCCTTGAGAGAAGGAACACTTTGCTTTTGAAAATATAGCTACGTCATCATTTATAAAATCTGCCAGGGACCCGCCTGTGAGGATTCATCAATGCATGGACTGTCTTGGGGCCAACACGGTTGCCTTTGTTTTGCGCAGGTGGAACGACATGGGGAATATCACTCATAACAAGTCGACCATTCTGGTGGAGCTCATCAACAAGGAAGAGACTGTGCTCTTCCACACGGTAAGCAAAGCGCACGCAGGCAGGGTCCGGCCGGCAGCTCGCCCCTTCACTTCTCAACTCTCAGTGTCCTTCCTTGCTCCCCGTACCTGGAGCGAATAAATACATATTCTCTGGAACCGAAACTCCCAGCCCTGGGCCCAGTGCTGTCATTCCTCACTCCAGGATAATGGTAGTGATTTCACATTCAAAACGCCTGCTTTCCAAGCGGAGGTTTGACTCTCGGATTGGGGTTCCTCCCCCTGCCTTCTGTGTGATGGATCGCATTGTCTGTCTGGCAGGCCAGGTTCCTCAGCACTGTAGCTACAGCCCTCCTCAAGCAACCTCTGATTCTGTTGCCTGGCATTTTCTTTTGCTGGCTGACCTGGGTTTTCTTTCCCAGCATCGCCCAATCTTGTCGGAAGTCAGCTGAGCGATGGCCCTTCTGTTGAGGGCCTCCTCCAGAGCCAGTGCTGTGTAGCTCCCCACCTCTCATTTAATGATGCTTGGTGCTCACCCCACACTCTGCCTTCAGTCAGTCATTTTTATTTTTATTTATTTTTTAAAATATATTTTTATTGATTTCAGAGAGGAAGGGAGAGGGAGTGAGAGATGGAAACATCAATGTTGAGAAAGAATCATGGATTGGCTGCCTCCTGCACGCCCCCTTTTGGAGACTGAGCCCACAACCCGGGCATATGCCCTTGACCGGAACCTGCGGCCCTTCAGTCCATAGACCGACGCTCTAGCCACTGAGCCAAACCAGAGAGGTCCATTCATTCATTTTTAAAGCATTTAGTTTGGAATGATGTGAAGACATGCCAGCTTATCACCGTGCCCCCAAGGCCTTGGGCATAAAGGATTCTTTAGCAGACAGTCCTGTCTTGTTGTCCTTTGATGGGCTTCATGCCCGTGGCTGCCACTGAATCTTCAGCACGTTGGTGTATGGCTCAGGGTGTTACTTTGTGATTGACAGAAAGGGAGGAAGGGACGAGTCCCTGTTTAGGGAGTCCTTGTCAAATGCGTATATAATCAAAGGAATGTCTGTGTGTTTTTTCTCTCTCTTTTCCAAGGATGATATTGAAAATGCCAAGTATATCTCTCGGTTGTTTGCTACACGGCACAAGTTTTACAAACAAAACAAAATCTGCACTGAGTAAGTAAACGTTCCGTCTGCCCTCTGGATGGACGGTTTGGCCCGATTAAATGCATGTGCTTTGGGGATGTTGTAGATGGCTTTTCCCATTCCCTCCGGAACTTCCCCTCATTCCTTGTAGAAGCTAAAGGAGCGCGTTCACGCCAGGCGGGCCCGAGAGCGCTTTAATGATGAGGACTGTGTGGTGTAGTTAGTGCCTCTGCCTGGAGAGCAAATAATTCACAAATTGACTGTGAGTGTTGGACTGCCTGGATGGCTCGGCCCACGGTTGCCATTAGTGCCTTTCCAAGCTCTGCGATGAGTTTGGAGGAGCTGAGCTCTTCCCAATTTGCCAGGGCGCCCCTTCGTGTCAGACGCGGAGGAGGTTCAGAAGCGTGTGGCACAGTGACGAGCCCGCTTGAAAGAGAAGACGCGCCTGTCATCCTCGGCCCCGCTTCGCTGACACAGTTGGGCAACCCCGCGTGTGCCTGTGGGTCATGGCATCTCCCTGTAAATGAGGGGCCGGGGTAATTAGAGGAGGACTTGGAGGACACTAATGGATGTCACCCATCCGCGTGTGTGTTTTACATTTAATTTGGAAATAAAGATGATAAAGGGAGTCTGATGAGGGAACTTAAATGTGACCTGACCTTGGAGACCGCGTGCTGGGGCTCACGCTCGTGTTGCCTTTCCCTTGATTGCCTTCAAAAGGTTGCTCCTCGGCCGAGTACGTCCGCGGTCGGGGCGCCTAACGTGTTTAATTTCGTTTCAAAGAACGTCAGGGATGTAAATGCAAGAGAGGGACTGTCTTTCCACTGCCCCAGTGGGCGCATCCCAGGGCGTGCGCGTGTGGTCCTGACACGGCGGCTGCATCACTGCGGCCTGCAGACTCTTTTCTCTGCACCATGCACGCTCTCTCACAGCAGCTGCTGCCATTGGCCGCTGGCAGGGTCTGGAAGTGTAGTGGATAGTGTCAGATCTGCCAGCT